CTTACCAAAAGTAATCTGCAGATGTAATGTAATCCACATCAAAATCCCATCACAATTCTTCACAGATCTTGAAAGAATAATATTCAACTTCATATGGAAAAACAAAATACCTAGGATAGACAAAATAATCCTGTACAATAAAGGAACCTTTGTAGGCATTACCATTCCTGACTTCAAGTTATACTATAAAACTATAGTAATAAAAAACAGCTTGGTATAGGCATAAAAATAGACACATGTATCAGTGGAATCGAATTGAAGACCCTGACATTAATCCACACACCTATGAACACCTGATTTTTGACAAAGAAGCCAAAATTGTGCAATAGAAAAAAGAAAGCTTCTTCAACAAATGGTGCTGGCATAACTGGATGTCTACATGTAGAAGAACGCAAATAGATCCATATCTACTGCCATGCACAAAACCCAAGTCTACGTAGAACAATGACCTCAACATAAATCCAGCTACACTGAATTTGAATGAAAAGAAAGTGGGAAGTAGTCTTGACTGCACTGGCACAGGAGACTACTTCCTAAATATAATACCAGTAGCACAAGCACTGAAAACAATTAATAAAAGGGATCTCCTGAAACTGAGAAGCTTCTGTAAGGCAAAAGACACAGTCAATAACACAAAACGGCAGCCTAAAGAATGGGAAAATATCTTCACCAACCCCACATCTGACAGAAGGCTGATCTCCAAACTATATAAAGAAATCAAGAAACTATGCATCAAAATACCAAATAATCCAATTTTTAAAATGAGGTAAAGATCTAATTCTCAAAAGAAGAATCTCCAATGGCTGAAATACACTTAAAGAATTGCTTAACATCCTTAGTCATTGGGAAAATGCAAATCAAAACAACTCTGAGATATCATCTTATACAGTAAGAATGGCCAAGATCAAAAACACTGAAGACAACTTATGCTGGAGAGGATGTGGAGTAAGGGGGAACACTCCTCCATTTCTTGTGGGAATGCAAACTGGTACTTTTGTATGGCAGTTTCTCAGAAAATTGGAATCAACCTACCTAAAGACCAACCAGTTGCATTATTGGGCATATGATTAAAGGATACACATTCATATTACAAAGACATTTGCTCAACTGTGTTCATAATAGCTAGAACCTGGAGACAACCTAGATGCCCCTCGCCTGAAGAAAGGATAAAGAAAATGTGGTACATTTACACAATGGAGCGCTGCTCAGTAGAAAAAAAAAACAATGCACCTTAAAATTTGCAAGAAAATGAAAGGAACTAGAAAAAAAAAAAACATCCTGGGTGACATAAACCAGACCCAGAAAGACAAACATGGCATGTACTCACTCATAAGAGGATATTGGACATAAAGAAAAAGATAACCAGGCTACAATCCACAACCCCTGAGAAGTTAGGTAACAAAAAGGACCCTAAGAGAAATAGACACGCATGGATGCCCCTGGGAAGGGGAAATAGATAAGATCTCCTGTGTAAATTGGGGGAGGGGGTAAGAAGGGAGAGGAGTACATGGGGGAACAGAATGGTTGAGTTGGGGGGAGGAACAGAGAAGGAAAGCAAGGAAAGAAATATCTGATTGAGTGAGCCATTAATAGGTTAGGGAGACACCTGGTGCTAGGGAAACTCCCAGGAATCCACAAGAAAGACCCCAGCAAAGGTGAAGGCTGGGGGGCGGGAGGGAGCAGGAAGAGGGAAGGGGGGAACTGTGGTTGGTATGCAAATTAAAAAAAATACACTTTTAAATAAAATATGTGTAAAATAAAAAGATTAAAAAAATGGCAAAAGTCGGCTTTGATAGAGCTGAGAAATGTTCTGGAAAGTTCATTTGCCAGTCAGGAACTTCTTAGGACTAGGAAATGATTTTTCCACCAAAACAATCTCATAAAGTATGGCAAATATCTTGCAGTGGTCTATCAAAGCACACCTCAGCCACAACAGAGCCTCCTGGTGAGCTGCTAACAACCCCATCTAAAGCACAGATTCTGGGTCCCCGGGCTTCAAGGGGGGCGAGAGGAAAGTACTGACTCCATCTGGGCCTGAGCGACCTGCCCAGCGCTTACAGCTCTTAGGGTTTTGTCAGCAATGAGTGATCCTAAAAGCCAGAACAGTAGAGTCATGCCCAGCCTGGCCATTGAGGTGTCGGGCATCTGAGACCCATGACAGTCTATATTCATTATTAATGGGCCATTGAACGAAGGCATTGATTTCCACGAGGGTGGTGTTTTTATGTACGGCACACACATTATTTATTGAGCATCAGTGTTGTTAGGCACTTTTCATTTTTCCAGCTAAATCCTCCCTACCATCCTTGGAGACAGTTCAGATGAGGACACGGACACAGGCTGGGAGAGGTGGAAGGAATTGCTAGCCCTCTGATGCCCAGGCATGGGAACTGGCTTAGGATCTGATGAGAAGGCCTTTCCCAGGTCTCCTCTCTGCTCTTGCTTCACCCTGCCTCTGGGAGGTGCCAACAAGGATGATCTAGCAAGATGAAGCTTTCAGTCCTCATCAGACACATCCTTTCAGACCAGTGCCAGGGTCAGCCACAAAGAGCTGACCACTGTGTCCGCTCAATGGTGCTTTGTGTGGTTTCCTTCAGGGGAGCATTCTGGAGAGATCCTGAGAACTAGCGCTCTGACTGTGGCTGCTATGTGCATGTTTGGGAAGTTGCTCTTCAGTTTTGCTGTGGTTCAATCAATTAGTTGAGAAGAGTCAGAGAAGACTATGAGAACATACAGAGGAAGGGGAGGCATGGGGCACTTCACTCGACTGGCACTGTTGAAACAGATTCTCGTGGGAGGCATCTGTTGGAGCAGAAAGGCCAGAATATCTGTCTCTGTTTTTTACAACAGTTTTAAAGAAGTAAAGTTACTGAGACTGAAAAGTCATCTAGCCACCTAGGCCTTCAGAAACAAGACAGAGAAATGTGTAATACTAATTCTAGTTGCTAGAGAAAAGGAAAATGACCACACTTACCAGAGAAGAGCTAAGTATTCCTATTTCATCAGAGATACAGACAGCCGTCCTTCCACTTCAGCCAACATAAGGAACAGCTTGGGTTAATGAGACAGTGTGCTGACCAGGGAATTAGAGCAGACTAAACAGAGACTCGTACACACAAATCTCCTGCTTTCACCAAGTTCACAGAAGCTTTAAAATGCCACACACACACACACACACACACACACACACACACACACACACACACCATGGATGCAATTGAGGGACTATATTTGGGAAGAAGGAAGGAAATAAGCAGAAGTTGGGGAGGACAAAAGAGGTAATGAGGGTGACCATGAGCCAAGTTCAATGATACACATGGATAAAGATGTCCTAAAGAAACCCGATATTTTGTTTACTTAGTTAAAGAAAATTTATAATGAGAAACAATTGCCCATCACTGTGTCATGTCTATAACCCAGCATTTGAGACTGAAAGTTTAAGGGCAGCCTGAGGCTACATAGCAAGACTGCCTCAAAACAAACAAAAAACTAAATTAATTAATCAATTAAAAACGAGTACATAAAAATAAATGGGTTTTAAAGGTCCCTGTTATCTTTAGATGTGCAATGCATTTCAATGTCATAAGCACCATTCAGAGAAGCTTGGAGAACCAACAGGCCAAGAAATTCAGATGCACTGGTATCCAGGAGGAGGGGAAGCTCACATTCACTGACATGACTAGATCTCAAAGAGACTTGGTAGGAAATGAGCAACCCCTGCCTAGGATCATGTCAGAAATTTTACGTTCATATTCATTTTCTCTCCCTCCCTTCCCCCTTCCTTCCCTAACTTCCGGCAGAGGAAATGGAGGCATGGAGATGTTGTAATAGGAACGGCGGGGCTGTGTCCCGCCACCCGGCCGCCCGCACGGCTAGCTTTACCGGAAATAATTACATGGAAACTGTATTCTTTTACACACTGCCTGGCCCGTTATCTGTAGCCTCTTACTGGCTAGCTCTTACATATTGTTCTAACCCATTTCTAATAATCTGTGTAGCCCACGAGCTGGCTTACCAGAGAAGATCTTAACCTGCGTCTGTCTGGAGTGGGAGAACCATGGCGACTCTCTGACTCAGCTTCTTTCTCCCAGCATTCTGTTCTGTCTACTCCGCCTACCTAATTTTCTGTCCTATTAAAGGGCCAGGGCAGTCTCTCTATTTAACCAATGAAATGAACACAAAACAGAAGACGCTCCCCCATCATGGAGATTTTCAGGGACGGCCACTGTGGCTGAGATGAGCAGCTCCATCTAAAACCATCAGGTGCAGTACTCTCGACCTAGGCTTTGTTCAGCTGTGCAGCACCCAGAGCACACAGCCTGACAGAGTCAGAGCCCCTTAAATGGCACACGGGGGTCCCTAAGGGCAAGCATGTCAGGGGGGCAGAATTCTCTCTGGATCTAGGCTTTGCCTTCTTAGTATTTTAGGGAGGAACTTTGTTGGGGGTGGGGTATTTGATGTATATCTGAGTACTGTGTGTTTCTGCACACGCGCATGCACACACACACACACACACACACATGTACCTAGTATGTATGCATGAATGTTTTTGGAGAAGTGTGTACAGGCATGTATGCAGATGCTCCTGCCTGTAGAGGTCAGGGGTTGATGTCTGTTACATTCCTTGCATTATTCACTGAGACAGGGGCTCTCACTGAACGCAGAGCTCACTGATCAGGTTAGTTTAGCTGGCCCGCTTGCCCCACAGTTCCCTGGTCTCCACCTCTCCAGCAGTGGGATTTTAGACAGCCTGTCACACCCAGCAGCATTTATGAACTCAGCTCCTATAGCTTGTGAGGCAAGCATTTCATCCACGGAGTCACCTCGGTGGATTCTATCGAGCATTCACTTTTGCTTTTTATCTTACATCACAATCCACTGTTAATCTTTTTGTTCGTCAAATTAAGTGAAGAACTGAAGACCAAGAGAAAGAAAAATAATGCAAAAGAACAAGCAAGAAATCAGATGGAAGTGAGCCCCGTTGTCTCCCGCGTACTTACGGGAGCAGCATTGGCCAGAGAAGCCCAAAGAATCAAAAGTCCGTAATTTGGACTATGTTGACATGATTCTGTCTCCACAACATCCAGAATGGCCTGCACGAGGGTCTGTGTGAAGGAAATGACTGTGAGACCACAGCTATGTGAGGAGGGCTGATGCCCATAAACAAGAGACCACCCTCTGCATGTGCTGCATGTACTTAACAGTGTGGCTGTGTACATGTGCATGCGTACAAGGGAGCCAGAGGTCAACACTGGCTGTCTTTCCTCCATCCCCCTCCACCCTCTTACAGAACCTGAACCCTCTCGGTTCAGCTAGCTGGGCTAGCCAATGAGTTTCAGGAATCTATCTCCATTTGCCCAGAGTCGGGGTTACAGGCATGTGTCACACCCAGACTTTTGTGTGGGTTCTGGAGATCTGAACCTCAGCTCTTCAGCTTGTTCATGAGGCACTTTGCCTCAACTGAGTCATGACCCTAGAACTGTTCATTTGTCTTTAACCCAGGAGAGATGTCTGCTATTCACAGGCTTGCAGTCTAAGGCATGCTAAGGCCCTCTACACTGGGTGGGAGTATGGGAATGGGGAACAGGAACTCCAGGGGAGTGTAGATGAATTTCTATCTTGTGGCTTCACTATTAGGGAAACAAATAATCCTGTATAAATCACTTGACTATTCCAGTGATTGAATTTCCTCATCCACAATGTGGCCTTGATATGGTACCGACCTAATAAAATTTTGAGAGTTGAATATTAGTACAGTTGCTGATAAAATACTTGAAGCAAAATCAACGTTCTCTGTAGCTCAAGATGGCCTTGAGCTCCTGACCTCCGACCTCTCCCTCCTTAGTACTGAGATTACAAGAATGTACCAGCACATCTGGTTTATTCAGTACTGGGGATGAACCTGGGGCGTTGTGTAGGCTAGGCCAGCACTTTCTAACTGAACTACACCCAGGCACAACACTGGCTTTTGCTTTTGTTTTTTTGCTGATTATTGACTGGTTTCTTGAGATGTTTTCATTAATAGCGTCTGTGGTTTTTGAGACAGTCTCAGTATGTAGGCCTGGTTGACCTGGAACTCACTATGTACCTGAGACTAGCCTTGAACTCACAGAGATCTTCCTGCCTCTACCTTCCAAATATCAGGATTAGAGGCATGCACCACCACACCCACCTGTAACAATAATAATAATAATAATAATAATACACAATGTTAGAGATTGAAATCAGGTCCTCCTGCATACCAGCCAAGCATTCTACTAGCTGAGCTACATACTCAACTCAAATGTTACCCTTTTAACATAAACAAACTTCGGTTCATAAGAAAATTAAGTAGTGAGGCATGGTGGTACAGGGTTATAATCAAGCAACTTGGAAGGTTGGGGCAGGAGAACTAACTTCAAGCTCAAAGTAAGTTTGGTCTCTAAAGTGGGTCTAAGACCAGCTCTGTTGACTTAGTAAAATTATTTCTCAAAAGTAAAAAGGAGAGCTAGAGATATACCTGGGAAGCAGAGGACTTGCCCAGCATATGTGAGGAGCTCAGTTCAAGCCCCTGGGAAAATCCAAATGTTCTGACTTAAATGGCACCAACTCAGAGCACAGCATCATCTACCTACTCTGGTGGTTTTCCCACGTCACCATAATCAGGGGGCTTCTCAGTTTGCCTTTGCCCATGGTTGCTTCGCCACCAGGGGGCAGACACTCAGGTGCTGGATGTGCTTTTAATCTTAAATCGGTAAGGTGATAGGAAAACAAGATGGACTCTAGGATCCATTCCCCCACTTGCCTTGGGACGATGTAATTTTAACGTCTTCACGGGTGTTTAGCTCACTGATATATTAGCCCTGAAGCAGCTAGTATTAGTCACATTCGGTACACACGAGGAAAAAGCACAACCAAGCTAGTGTGAAAGAAATGCACATGTAGGCAGGATGAAAATGGAGTTGCTGGTGTCACTTGCTGCTAATGAAGCATGCAAGTCTTCCAGATTAGCCCGGCCAATCGTCTTCTTGGTATCGGCCAATCGTCTTCTTGGTATTAAAGTTGTCACAAGAAACAAGAAATGGCTTTGTACATCATAACTGCCTTCTAAATATTAGCTGGTATACCATTGTCTATCATGTCCAAAAGAATAGCAAAACTGGTCATTTTAATTATGGATTTCATTTTCTGCTGCTCTACAGCACGTCTAGCTGGTCCAGGTGTCTGTGAGGGATTGTCTTGACTGCATTAACTTCTGTAGGGGGACCAGGCCACTGTGGGTGAAGCCTAAGCCTGTGAATGATCAGAGCCTTCAGCAAGTTTAAGCAGCTACTCTGTGGTTCCTGCCACTAGTGCCACAACTAAAATGTTTCTGTAACACTTTTAAACGCTAAAATATTTGAAGTGGGGTTTTTGGTTGGTTGGTTTTGGTACTAGAGATTGAAACGCACATGCTAAGGAATCACCCCATCACTGAGCACATCCACAGACTTCTCTTTATTTTGAGACAGTCTCACTAGGTTGTTCAGGCAGGCCTCACTAGGTTGTTCAGGCAGGCCTTGAACTTGCCATTTTCCTGCCCTAGCCTCCTAAGTAGCTGGGACTGCCCATCTTTAGGTCCAGTTTTTAAGTGAACATGTGTTCTCTTGCGTGTATGTGTGTGTATACGTATGTATATGTGTGTGTGTATATATGTATGTATGTATATACATATATGTTTTACTGTGGACCCTCCAACTGGTCTGGTTTCATTCCTCGAGGCCATATCAGGTGACCTTGGCCTGGTGAGTAAGAATGGTCACCTACAACTAATCAACAACAACAACAAAATCAATATGGCATTGCTCAAACAAAAGTCCCGTGGCATTGGATGGAAGCTAAGTTACTTAAGACTGAAGACATTCTATGTGACTTTCTCAGAAGCCAGGGGACAAGTGGGGAACTGATGTTGCCCAAACAGGTCAAGAGCGATGACAAGAACCCTGAGTCGCTTATTCCTTACCTCCTTAAGTAACCAGAATCACCCAATTTTAACCCATCGGTTATAGTTTTGTTGTCTTCTCCTTAGTCTTAGACGGGAACTTTGTTTTCTGACTTTCATAGTTCTCTACCCAGCAGTTCTCCACCTGTGGGTCATGAACACTGGAAAGCAGGTATTTCCAGTGGTCTTAGTGTGAGACACTACTTAGTAGCAAAATTACAGTTATGAAGTAGCAACAATAATAAATTTATGATTGGGGGCTCCTAAGACCATCAGAAATATGCGCTTTCTGATGGTCATGACCCACAGGTTGAGATCCCTGATGTAGTTGTTTTGTTTTGTTTTGTTTTTGTTTTTCAACAGAGCTGCTCAGCTCAGGCTATGAAAACATTTTATTTGTTGTATGGAAAGATGGAAAGGGAAGTGGCCTAATCCAAGAACTACGCTGTAAAGCAACAAAGACCTTTAAATTGTACTTCTGTCCTTTGACACAGTCAACTGTGTGAAAACAAAACAAAACAAAACAAAAATAAATAAATAAATAAAACTCACGAGTTTCATCTTATTTTGTTGTTTGTAGCATCCATTTTGCAACCCTATAGAACAGAATGCTTTGATGCTATGAGGCCATGATATTAAAATAATGTATATAAGCAGGCCTAGTCTATCACTTGGTATTAAAATTATATCCAATCACACACATTTCCTGGCTAAGAAATGTTTTGTAATAATCACTGTTTAGTCCCATGTTCATTACACATATCTTAGTGAAGGAACAGGTACCTACCCTGGAATGGCCTGCTAGTGACTCATGAGCTTTGATTTCATCCATGTTTTTCTCAAACAGCTTCAGGAGCCACCTTTTGGACTTTGACCAGTTTCTGCATTAAAAGCAAAACAAAAATCCATAAAATCAGTGATTTGCAAGGGTTAGGGTCACAGGTTATAACATAAAAGGAGAGAATGTTGGGGCTAGAGAGATGGTATAGCAATTAAGAGCACAGGCTGCTCTCTCAGAGGACCCAGGTTCAATTTCCAGCACCCACATGGCGGCTCACACCTGTCTGTAACTCCAGTTCCAGGGGCTCCGACTCCCGCATACAGACATGCATGCAAGTGAAATACCAATGCACATGAAGTAAATAACTTATATACTTTTTAAGAGCTAAAGAATGTTTCTTATAGTAGAATAATTTCCTCAAATTTCATCTCTGTTTCCAGTTAGAATTTCCACAGAGGTCCACTTCTGAATTATTAGTTCACAAGTAAAACTGAGGGGACAAGAAAACGAATTTGGGCTGTCATTGAAGGAGAAAGGGTGTGTCAATTGCTTGGTTCATTTCACTGTGCCTATCCTAAGAGTGACAGGTGAAAGCCCAGCATAGAGACCAGATGCTGATCCAGCTAAACAAAGCCCATTGGTTATTGTCACTTTATTCTTGTCTGACCATTACCAGCATCCACGGCTAATGGATCTGGGTGCTCTGCAAAATCAATAATGAAATTCTCAACCTGGAAGTGATCGCATTAGGGAGCAGGGAATTAAAGACAATAATTGCACGACAGGGTGAACCCTTTATCAACGGGATTAGTCTCATTATATAAAACACCGGGAAGCACTTGATTGCCTCTTCCACTCTGAAGGCACAGTCAGAAGTTGACAGTCTGTCATCAAAAGGAAGCCCTCCTCATTAACCACCCTGCTGGTACCCTCAGTCTCCAAACTATGGGGGGAAAAATTATTGTTTATAAGTTACTCATCTATGCCCCCATAACTGTCCAAATAGAATAAAACATAGAGCAACTGCCAAGAACCTTTTAAAATTCAGTTGCTTCTCACTGCATTTTACAAATATTTACCTGAGCCAATGGTAACAAATGCATTTGATCACCACCTACTCACACCTTATGGAGCAGCGGGCTGATTCAGCAAGGATTCAAACATAATCAATTCAGTAATGATACACTGTACTTCAAAAGAGCCTCTGATACAATCTCCATAACATGTCTCAATATCTCTCTCTCTCTCTCTCTCTCTCTCTCTCTCTCTCTCTCTCACACACACACACACACACACACACACACATACACACACACACACACACAAACACACATTGTTGTTTTTCAGAAATAAGGGATAGGGAAGATGAGGACAGAGGGAGGCAGGAAGGAGGAAGAAAGAACAGAGAGAAGGAAGGGAGAAGTCTATCTCTTTTGTTCCTCCTTCACTTCACACGTGCACACTAAAACAAGCAGGCTACAGAGCCTGGTGTGACGGTGCACTTTTGCAATGCCAGCAACCTGGAGGCTGAGGCCATGAGTTCCAGGGCCAGCATGGCTACACAGTGAGAACACCACACGGCCTGCCACCACCGATTTTTTAAAAAGTCATAGAAACAGCTTCCTTCCATCTCAACTGATGCTAACCTGCTGAAGAGAAAGAAATGCAGTTGGAATATGGCTTAGTGAACAAAGCACTTGCCACACAGTATTGGGAGACCAGAGGAGTCTGAGTCTCCAGATGGAGACAACAGAAACCCTAAAAGCTTGGCCAACTAACCTGAATGATGCTGGAATGTTTTAGACCCCGTCTAAAACAAGGTGGGAAGCAAGTACCAAAGCTCAGTTTCCTCTGACCTCCACTCATTCACTACGGCAAGCGCACTACTCCCCCAACACACGCACCTACATCCTACACACATATAAGCATATGAAATAAAAATAAAGCATTGAATAAATAAATAAATAAATAAGAGAGCTGGGAGCTAGGAAGGCTGTTGAGAAGGTAAAATGCTTGTTGTGCAAGCCCAAGGACCTGCATTCAGATGACCATTGCCCACGTGACAGCCAGCACGGCAGCATGCACGTGCAATCCCATGCAGCGATGGGGAATGCTGGGCCTCGGTCGTCAGCCAGCCTAGACAAAATGGTTAGCTCTTAGTGATCAGTCTCATGTCAAAAACCCATGGTGCAGAATGATAAATCAGGCCACCTGATATCATCCTCTGGCCTCCACTCATACGGGGCACACCTGTGCACACACATATCAAAGCGAGAGTGAGATGGAGGTTAGCTATAAATATATGTTGCTGAAAAGAGAAAACTGATCAATTACAGAAGGCCACCCTACCTCAGGAGCCATTCCGGTAGCTGGGATCCATACTCAAAACCCTCATCGTAAGTTTTAAAATGCTGGTAGAACTCCTTGACTTTCCTCTCATCTGTGGGAAACAACCCTTTCTTAAAGAGAGTATTGACCGTGGCTGGATAAAGAAGATGCCTGCAAAGACAAGGACGCTCAGGAAGTCAACCGAGTAACCAATAAAAACTTTATATACAAAGATAGAATTGCCTTAAAATGACAGCTGAGCAGTGGATAAGGGGACACAACTTTGGGGGAAAAGTCATTCTTAAGTTTTACCGTCTGCTGCTGGAAATCAAGCTGCCGTTCAAGGACGACAGAAACGTGATTCTGTTTATCTAAAGATATTTTAAAAATCCTTTCTTAAAAACAAGACAACAAACAAAACTTTGTTTTGAATTATGTGTGTACATGTGTCTCTGTATGGATGGGTGAACGGAGGTGCCTCTGACAATCAGAAGTCAGATCTCCCTGGCACTGGGGTTATAGGCAACTGTGAGCTGTGTACTATATGTGCTGGGAACCACACTTGGGTCCTGGGGAAGAGCGTGTGTGTTCTTAACTACTGAGCCCTCTCTCCAGCCCCGAAGATGTAAAAATACATTCTAAGGAAGCACCTTCGACCCATAAAAAATTGAAAACAATAAGCTGAATGAATGTCACTCATTGGGAATTTATTTAGAAAATGGTAACAGCTAGGACACCACTCAGGTCTTTGAACGTAGCGGCAATTAAACTAGGAATAAAAGGGGGTAACAGTAATCATTCCTTTCTTAAATTCTCACAAAAGTCTGCACATTCAAACTACTGCCTACTGGGTTATCTATTGACATCACCTGTTTCGGCATAAATGAAATGAGAATGTCCCCTACAGGCTTCTGTATTCGAATCCTTGGTCTCCACTGGTGACACTGCTTGGGAAGGTTATGGAATTTCTAAGAGGTGGAGTCTTGCAGAAGGAAGTACATCACTGTGAGGTGGGGCTTTGAGAGTTCATACCCTTATTCCACTCCTAGGTCACGCTCTCTGCCTTTGCACTCCTAGGGTTCTACTGGGGTGAGAAAGTGTTTTGGTAACTCAGTTTCTCATGTGGAGACTCTATGGCTCTTCATCAGCCAAGTGACTGCTGGTTTACTTGTTCACTATAAACTGAGAATGCTAAAATAGAAAGTGCCTTTTAATTAGAATTTCAATGCTTTTTTTTTTAAAAAAAAAAATCTCATAGTGGCCTAGTTGATAGAGAACATTAATTCGCCAGGTGAATTTCAAAATCCAATGTATTAGCTCCAAGTATTTTATTTGAAGATTAAAACAACTGTTTACCTTACAAAGTCGTTCAGGTCCGCTGTCCCCCGGGCACCTAAGTCTTCCAGTTGCTCATGGAATGCCTCACTGAGCTGCCCAGTAAACTGATGTGTGCTGAAAGTACCCATCTTCCCCTTCATCAAGACATACAGTTTTTCATGCAGTGAAAAAAAGACATTCTTGGGAATCCATGCTAAAGACAGAGGAAACTAGTATCAAAATGAGCGACAATCCCTTTGCGGCACAGAATCGGCCAGGAGGGGCTATTGACAAAGTCCTCCCGGCATAGGAAATCAGTAGATCTGTTCTCAAGATGCTCTATAAGTGAGGGAGAGGGCTGCTACTTTTACCCCCTTCCACCTCCAGATCTACGTTCAAGGTGTGTAGAAAACGCAGAGGGTCTTTAAACTCAACACTCTGCAAGCTATTAATCACACTTAGATCATTCACTACTCTCCCAACCAAACCCCATTTCTACACACACACACACACACACACACACACACAGACAACAACACCCCCCAAATTCCTCTCCTAGTTATCTTCTTGACCATTCCTTCCAGTAGAATAACTCTGACCCCACTCCAGAACACTTCTTCCTAGAAATCTCCCTCTTCCCTCTACAGTATCACCTCGGGTTCATTCAGGGTAGGGGTAAGAGTTTTGGTTTTTTAGACTACTTTCTTTAAAAAAAATTATCTAGTTAATCTATTTTGATTAACCAAATAAAAGAATCTTTTAAAAAAAACCTTTAAAAAAATCATTTGTATTTTATGATTTTGTTATGTTCAGGTTATATTTTGTATAACGTGATTTAAATTAAATGTTGATCTCTTGAACATGGTAGGGGCTGTTTGGTCAGGATAAGAAGCTGGCTGAAGAGGAAATGCTAACAAATTTTAACTGTTCAGTAGAAATGTCATGAGAGGTCACAGCAGAGCCCTAGGCGAACATTCCCATAATATCCATATGCCTCTAGCAGATAAGTACGTTCCTTTTACTGAAGAAGTATGTTAGTGTATAAAACAACAGCCTTCAAAATATACTCATCGACCACAAACCCCATGGCTTACATAAGAACAAACACTAGAGAACAGTGAATTTACCCAATAGACTGTGATCTTAAAATGGCTAAACTTTTCATCTCTGAGAGGTTGTCAAAGATTTTTGTCTTAGTACGAAGAAATGTATGACAGAGTACATTATAAGACTCTACGAAGGGATGGGGGGGCAGAAGAAGGACACCTTAGCACCTTAGGCAAGAAGAAGTCAGGCAGGCATTCAGGGAAGATGCATGGTCTAGGCACAGGACCTAGGGAGACCCAGGCAGAGCAGGAGCACAGTCTCCAGTAACCGCAAGCAAGCTAAGACAGACGGAGACTGTAAGAAAGGAGAAGCCAGCCCTAGCTAGCATTATAGCCCCAATGGGCACTCTCGGGAGAGATCACAATTATGGCTTGCTTATTAAGCAGCGGAACTCTACTCTGGACAAGCAGAGTACAACTTGAGTTCTCTGTGTAGCTTTGGTGCCTGTCCTGGAACTAGCTCTTGTAGACCAGGCTGGCCTCGAACTCACAGAGATCCGCCTGCCTCTGCCTCCCGAGTGCTGGGATTAAAGGCGTGGGCCACCACCGCCGCCCAGCTGCCCTTCACTATTCTTGAGAGAGGACTGAGGATGTAATTTTACTCAAAATTACTCTTGGGTTTCGATGTTATACTTCAAGGAAACTATCTAAAATATTGATTACCTGTGTTATAGACAGGATTTTGTACAGCTAGTTCAAAATCTACATGTTTAGATTTTAGAAACACATCGATTCCTTCTTCTTCGGTAACAAAGGTCATTCGCTTTCCCATAGCAAAGACGGTAAATATTGGTCCATACTAGAATAAAACACAAAACCCAGATATATTAGTAAGCATTTCTAAATCATGGATTATGCATAACAGTTTTACTCCAGAACATCAATGCTGACATTGGAGCAATGGCTCAGTGATTAAGGGTGTGTACGCACTGTCCTTGCAGAGGACCGAAGTTCAGCTTTAAGCACCCAGATTGGGCAGTTCAACAGCCATATATACTCCAGAGGATCCGATGCCCTCTTCTGGCCTTCAGAGGCACCTGCACACATGTATACAAGTGTGTGAACACACACAAACCACACATACACACTTAAGAATAAAAGAAGAATACCAGTGAAGTAATGGCCCAGTTTTGTAACACCTAGTAGTTCCTAGAAATTCTGTGGGTCACATTTAAATTATATGAATCCTATTTCATTCTCTCCTAAAATGTGCATAATAAGATGCATAGTCTATCTTCCTTTCTTGGTTATTAGAAAATAATAAACAATAATATATATGACCATAGTGCTCTTGAAACCTTATATTCAAGATATCAAGAAGCTTATAAGTAAAATACAGCTCAATACTGCTCAAGAGACATACACAAAGCTGAAGGGAACAGGCCTTAAGGGCCTGTTTATGTTTAGACATCATGGTGCTGACATGGATACAAGGCCTCAGCCAAGATGGCTAATGCTAGATATAAGGCGGCTATGAGTCAGCAAAAATTGACTGACACTGGGTGTTCAGAAGCCCCCAAAGCAAGTGATAATGTAGTCTGCTCTATAACCATTTCTGGCCAATTGTCACCTTTGTATGAGTCTGTCTAAATATGGCCTTGAGGTCACAGACAAATCACCTTTTGCCTTCTCCAGATCCTGTATAGGTCTGCATGCCTACTTGCAATCTGCATGCTGGTATGCGTGTATGTGTGCCGGTATGTGCCTGCCTAAGCCGGCACACATTTACATGAGCTAGCATTTGCCTGGCTGTCTGGCAGCGTCTGCTTGCCTTGCAACCTGTTTGCTGGTGCATAATGCATGTCTTGTCTGTCTAGGGCTCCTAGCGTTCTCTCCATCCGCCTGACTTCCTGAGACCCTCCTCTTCTCCTGGCATCAGAGCTCAGACTTCACAAACCACCCATCCTTCCTGATGCAGTAGCCATTCTTTCCCTTCTCTCTCACATCATCTCTAGCATGAGGTTTGACTTCTGGGATTTGCCCTAATTAGCTCTAACTGTGGACTTGACCCAGCCTCGGAAGTCTCAATGGAGGGATTGCTTAGACCATAATGGTTGGTGGGCATGCTGGGGGAGAAGGGCTATCTAATTTTTCAATCATACAGGAAGGCCCAGACCATTATGGGTGGCACCATTCCCTGGCCAGGTGTTGCTAAGCTGTAGAAGATGAACATGAGTGGGCAAGCAGTGTTCCTCCATGGTGTCTACCTGTGAGTTCCTACCGTGGCTTCAATCAATGGTGAACTGTGATTTGGAAGTCTAAGCCAAAGAAGCCCATTTCTCCTCTGAATTGCTGTTAGTTGATGTTTTAGCAGGGCAACAGAAATGAAACGAGAGTAGACTTTATGGCCTTATTGGATTGAATACATGCCATTTTTCAGAGCCTTCTGCTTATGCTCTAGTATCCATTAGGAACGCTGGCAACAAACTGTACGCCGTGAAAATGGCCACACATTCGCATACCATTTTGGACTCCTCAGTATCTCAAGACATCGTTTCCGCTCATCGCTGCTTCCAAGTTCCTCGCTTTCGCGCTAATCATGAGATCAGCACACATTACACTCTTGATAAGACCGACAGATAGTGCGAGGCAAACTGAAGGTTCAAGAATCACTGGCTACCAAAACCAAACAAATAACAACAATAGCAACAAACCAACTGCGTCCTATTTCTCACATCTATGACCCAGATGTCAAAACTGCATCCCAATAATACCTAACTGGCAACTGTTTGCTAGTGATACTTAAAAGAGAGGGAGTCATTCTCATTGTTATGAGAATTGTTAAGGTCATTGTAATTCTCACTGTTGTGTTTAAATGTGTGTTCTTAACTTTCTTACTAGGAAAGTGGCCTTCCTAGTGGCAGGGGCTTGTAACATGATGAGTTAGGGGCTTCAAGCAGATACCAAGTTCAGCCACACAGAGCCACTGAGATTAGTGCCGACTCATGCTGGTGCTGCTTAAAAGAGCTCACCGCAGCATTCTGCATAGTGAAACTCAGGGTGGGGATACAGACTCTACAGCAGAGGGTTTCTCTGTTGTTTGTCCTCTGAGCTCCTAGTCTCAATTTAGTGCCAGGCTGCATACAAACCCTTAGGAGTGACTTCTCCCATTGTTACCATTCTCCAGAGAGTCAGCTGGATTCTGGGTGCTGTCAAGGCAGAATCCCACAGAACATTGAAGGACATTTGGGGTCCTAGTTCAAGGACATCGTAAAAAGCGATTCTAAAGCCATGGCCAGGTTACAGTGTAAACCTGAGTTCCCATTTCGGCAGGACAAATTATCTAAAAATATTAAGTGCTGAGTTACACAATTAGCCGCGTGTTCCGATAATAAACTGCGGAAGTATTTTCCATAGAGGTTGGACATTAGGCGTCTTCAGGCTCAGCGTCTCTTCACAAGTGGCTGTTACTATCGCTAACCTGTGTGTTTGCCGCCTGGAAACTCTCGTCATGGACGTGATGCTCACATCCATTTCCTAATCGGACTGTACTTTTCTTTTGAGTGTCCATGGTTCTTTCTACACACTGATGCTCCGTGGAGCACGGGGCTTGCAAAAACTTTATCCCTTTCTGATGTTCTTCTGTTTGTCCTCCTTGTGGGTTCTGTCACAGAGAAGAGATGTCTGATTTCCATAAAATTCTATTGATCTGCTCTTCCTTTTACGGCCCGCACTTTGAGAGCCAATCAAAGAAGTGTTTCCTAGACCCACCAGGGGGAAATTCTCTTCTTCTTGAACTTTTTGTTAATTGTGTTTCTGGTGAAGACTGGAATCCACCTTGAGTTAATTTCTCAGCTAAGACGTGAATCTTGGGTTGGGGCTCTGCCTCTGCCTCCCGAGTGCTGGGATTAAATGTGTGCTCCACCACCGCCCGGCTAGGATCTTTGATATCTTTAATTAGCATTTTGGGGTTCTTTGCAAATAAGAATCAAACCTACTTGGCCAAATTTTTACCAAAATATTTGCTTGAGTGATTATAAGCATTGTTGTAGGTTAAAGCACACATGTGCAGCCACACAGCCAGTAATTGTGTGCCAACCTTTCTGAACACCCATACAAACTCCAAGTTCTGAGAACCATCCCAACCAGACGGTTTAATGTAGCTAAGGGGCTGTACCTGAAATCCAGGCTCCTCCTAGCCTGTGACCAATGGTTTATTTCTAACACTCCCTCCTCTATCTTGACGCTTATGCAATGCACCTTCGAAGTTTCTTCTTCAAAGTCATAATTTTATGGATAAGAAAACTAAATTGCACCAGCAACAGCACACCCCATCTCGCAGCTCAGCTACAGATCATGTCGATTTGGAGCCACTGCTGATGCATTAACTGGTTCCTTCCCTACGTCCACACGTGACTTTCTTCTAGTGTGCCTTATCTCTTCTTGTTTTATTATTTGTTATCGTTGATTCTGCTTTGTCTGCTGACTGAGACAACACTGCCTCGCTAGTTTTGCTTCACTCTGCATTCTTTTTCAGTGGGGCACTTGAAAAACGGGGAATGCACCAGAGAGACTAAAGCCCCACCCCAGCCCCCAGAGTCCCTCATCCTGCGCTCCCAACCACAGCGAACTCCATTTCCAGCTACTGGGAACAGGTAGGAAAGGAACTCATGCTGTAGAGCTTGGCAGTGATAATTGAGAACTAAGTGGAATAGAGACGGAATAAGAAGTATTTTTCACTATAGTTGTGTGCATGTTTGCAGAGGTGTAAGCATGTAGAGGTCAGAGGTCAACACTGATGTTTTCCACCATTGCTCTCATCTGATTTCTTGAGACGGAGTCTCTCCCTGAACCCGGAACTCTGAGGCTGGCTAGAGAGGCTGGCCAGCGAGCCGCAGGGCCCCTCTTTCCTCCCCTGGGATCGCAGGTGTGTGTAAGGGTCTTGTGCTTGCACGTCAGGTACTTCACTGCCTGAGCCATCTCCTAAGCCTCTCATAGGAGTCAATATTTTAAAATGTTAAACGATATTAATATATAACCCATTCAAAGATTAAATCAAACTACAGGGAAGACTTTTGCAGCCACCAAAGCTTTCCCTGTCTTCTTCAGAGGTGGAAGCTGAAGGGATGCTCAGCATGTATGTCAAAAAGTCCTTCCTCAAAGGTCCAAAAAGCCATGCATTCCCATACAGTTTCCAGATAAATGCAACCCCTATCAAAGCGTTAAAACTGGCTGCAGATGCTGAGAAAAGGCAGATCACATTCTCTTCCAAAACTTCTTTCAAACGCGAAGAGTGATGACGTCACAAACATGCAAAAAGGCTGTAAAAGGTTTAGCATTTCCACAATGGAGCTTTTCTTGCCTGCTCCGAGCAAGCAACTAATGAGAAAGTAGACTGAGAAAGATGACTGGGAGCAAGGCATGCTGTGCACACCTGAATCTCAGTCCTCAGAAGGCTGAGTACTCAGGCTGGAGGACTCAAGTTCAAAGCCAGCCTAGGCTACTTAGTGATCAGTAACCCATGTAAAACAAAGAAGTAGGCCAAGCTGGGTGGTGGTGGTGCATGCCTTTAATCCCAGCACTTGGGAGGCAGAGGCAGGCGCATCTCTGTGAGTTCGAGGACAGGCTCCAAAGCAACACAGAGAAACCCTGTCTCAAAAAACAAAACAGAAGAAGAAGAAGAAGAAGAAGAAGAAGAAGAAGAAGAAGAAGAAGAAGAAGAAGAAGAAGAAGAAGAAGAAGAAGAAGAAGAAGAAGAAGAAGCAGCAGCAGCAAAGCCATTGGTTCAGTTTGGTTTTCCTTTTGTGTCTCACTGTGTGCACTGGCTAAGGAGTGGGTGAGGGGTGAGCATTCCTGCCTTGGGACTTTTAGCTTGCATGGTTTAAAAGTCTCCAGTGCACTTTTTATCATCCTGACCATATGATAAGAATAACCCTTGAAAGTAGGCTTCAGGATTCAAACATCAAACAATGGAGCCATAGTCTTTGAGTATGAGGGAAAGACTATACACATACTCTGCGTCATGTAACCTAGCAGTTGGCTCTAGAGAGGCCTCCCACACACTTGATCTGAGACAACTTTGCCAAACATTCCATAAAAATTACTAAACTCATATGACCATGGAAAGCTGTGGGAAACAAAGAAATATTGTTCTAGGAAAGATTCTTTTTCATCTTTCATGTATCAGACTAGTAAGAGTTTCATATAAATACGTTATCCAGTAGGGCCCAGAATTTAATATGTTAAGCAAATTTATGTGCTAAAACAAAGGTTAAAAAGTATATATTACATCTTTTTCAAAGCAGTAAAATAACACAACACAATCATAACTGATTTAATTGTACATTTGCCCCCAAACAAATCTATTTTTGGAGTTTGTTCTGAGGAAATAGTCAAATAAGCTTTAAATGTACAACTACACACACACACACACACACACACAACTATCCATTGAGAGCTGGAGAGATGGCTCAACCATTAAAGGCTAGGCTCACAACCAAAACTATTAGAATATTCATTGAGGTATTGGTTGAAACAATGGAAAGCAGTAGGCGACAACCTGTATAACTCAACTATTGGGATTTAAGTCAAATATCCTATCCTTATTTGATGAATGCATCCATTAAAGACTGGAGATGGCTCAGCGGACAAAGTGCTGGATGTGCAAACATGAGGATCAGAGTTCAAATCCCCAGAACCCATAAAAAAAGCCAGGCATAAGACGCTCACATCTCTATCTCCTCATCACTGGGTAAGAGACAAGCAGTACTCAGAGGCTTGCAAGCCTGCCGGTCTAGCCGCAAGAATGCGCTCCAGATCCAGAGACCTTGTCCCAATAAAATGTAGAAGAGAAGGGAACTAGGAAGACACCCCGTATCAGTCTTTGAACTCTGCATGCTCCTTCCTGCATGGACTAAAAGCTCCTGCACACAAGTGGATGTACACACACAGACTGAAAAACTTAATGATAAAGAAATATTATATCTCATACATTGTATTGTGTTTATATGTGTACGGGCATGTATCCATGTGACGTCCATCCGGGAACAACCTGAGGGACTCGGTTCTCTCTTTCCACTATGGAGGTTCTGGAGATTTATCTCAAGACGTTAGACTTGGTAGCAAGCACCTTAACCCACTGAGCCATCTTGCCAGCCCTCTACCTTACTTTCTGAGACAAGTTCTCTTCCTAACCTGGAGCTTGGTGGTTGGCCTAGACTTGCTGATCAGTGAGCTCCATGAATTCTCCTGTCTCTGCCTCTCCTGCATTGGAATTTGGGGTGCATTTGGCCACATTGGCTTTTTTAAAAATTAAGATTCATTTTATTTGTATGCATATATGTTTCTATACATGGGTATGTGTGTGTGCATGGATGTTGTGGGAGGACAGAGGTTTTAGATCCTCTGAAGCTGGAGCTGTAGGCGATTGGAATCCAACCCAATGTGGATGCTGGGAACAGAATTTGGGTCCTCTGCAAGGGCAGTATGTGCTCTTAACAGCTGAGTGTTCTCCCATCCACATGTTTGCTTTCTCCAGCCCTCCCCCAACACATACACCTTAAAGATAGGAGATGAGGATTGAATTTAGGTTCTCATACTTGTGCAGAAAGTAATTCACCCTCCCAACCACAAAAATAATAAGATCTTGGCAGCTAAAATATGAGTAAATAAAAAAAAAGCCAATAAAAGAGTCTCTTTTAAAGTGCTCAACATTCAAGAACTACTTTAAGGACAAAAACTTTTAGAAACGCGTCCTTAGTTGTCTCTTCGGGGTATATGGGAAGAAAGGACTCATCAATAAAACTAGTAGCTGGGGGAGGGTGGTGAAAAAGAAAGAAAGTGGCAAACCTTGAATCTGTAAAGACCAACTTAGCAAAACAAGTTTTACAAAATCGTAGTGTTACCTCTATTTGTGATACAGATTTATTACTCATTTTCACAAACCGGAGTCATGTAAACTTATCTTCCCCAAGTACAACGCGCTTATATCCGTATGTTGATAAACACGCACTTAGAATTAGCTCAAGGAAGTTACTAACACTCAAAAGACATCTCTCCTTCCAACAAGCTCTGTTGTCTTTCATTTCTTGATATTTTGCTTAGGACATAGCTGAAGATCATGTGTAGAGAAACAATCGACAGGATTAATTGCCAGAAGTATGCTTATGTCCAATGTTCTAACATTGCGCCTAATAAATACATAATTTGAAAATAAAATACTACCTCTCTCCAACCCCACCGCCACCTCCATGCACAGCTACATACCTTGATTCTTGCTTTTTCTATAAATTCAAGAGGAGCTTTCCCAAACTCAAATCCTGCTCCGATCCAGGGAACCCAGCCCTGGATGCACGGGGGTCCACGCAAATTCTTCCACCGAAAGAATAAGAAAAGAACACAGCTTCCCAGGACGGCGATTACTACTAGTGAAAAGAACTCCATGACGCCCATCTTCCAGAATCACAGACGTTTGAAAACGTACTTCTCCTGGAGCATTTCCCCTTTCCCTGCAGACTGAGGAAAACGCACCGGGTGTTCCAAACTTTAAGCCGAAACTTTGGCCACCAATTCTCTTGCGCAACTGTAGTTCCTTTGCCCCGCCCCAATTTTTGTGCAATTTTTGCATTGTGGCTCCCTTCCACCTTCGCATTGCTTTCGAATTCTGGCCAGTAGGCAAAAGAAAAAAAAAAAAAAAAAAAAAAAAGCAATCAGTGGAACTACACTGGCCTGAGTTGGGACGGGTGGGCGGGAACACGCGCTAAAGCCTTAGCTATCCAGTTGCTGGCAGTTTGCAGAGGGCGCCTAGCTGCCAGCCAATCAGAGGCGTCGTGGAGTCCCCAAGAACTACATTTCCCAGAAGCATCTTGGGTTCCGCTTTGTTTTTCAGTACCTGAGGCCCCCAGACCGGTCCAGCTACTAAGCAGGAGGCGACTTGGCCGTACCTTATAGCCACACATGGTCCCTCCCCGACCGCTCTTGAACTGAAGAGGGGCGGCGCCCGCAGGGTGGCAGGTGCACAGGCGACTAGGGGTGCCCAGTGGTCCTGACCTGCTGCTGAATGTCTGTCCCCGAGAAGGAGGAGACGCTGCTGCCGCTCACGCAGAGATGGCCTCGGATGAGCAAGTTCCTACTGTCCGGCTGCGCTGCAACCGTGGCCGAGCTAGGTACCAGCCGCCCCCGCCTCGGTCTCCCCAGCGAGTGCCGTGGCATCGCGCTGGGGGAGGGATGGGCGGGCAGCCCCGCTCCAAGTTGGAGCATCTTCAGAGGTTGCACCCTCGCAAGGATGTGGTCAGGTGCCCAGTAGGCCAGCTTTGGGAGGAGTATGGATTGGAGGTTTCCAGGGTTGTCTTCCCATCCCGAGGGATGATGTCTATCTAACGCCTGAGTGAGTACTCTTGGGCTCTTCATGAGCCCTCCTACCTCTTTAGGAAACCTTTCCCCTTTGGTGAGGATGACCTTTTTGGAATCATAATCCATTTGTTCCACATATATTTCATCATCTCTGGGATCGTCTTTTTTTCCTGGTTTATAGCCTTATGCAGCCTCAGCATTTTTTAAGATTCGAGTTGGGGGAGGAGGCACCTGGAGGACTGTAGTTATTAACCATTCCTCCTGAACACCTGTCTAAAGTCAGCCGGCCACCTCATATTGACCCTATATAATTTACCTTACAGGAGGGACTCTGAGAAGTAATTTTTATAAAAATGGTAAATGCAATGCAAGGTAGCTATTTAACTGGGTCATTAATACAGTCGATACAGTAGGGGGTCCTGGCTGTACAGTTGCAAAGACACCTGTGTGGCCTTCTTCCAGGCCAGTGAGGGCACGTTCAGAGAAAGACACAACTGCTGCTTGTTGCAAGAGAAGCTATTTTTGTGTGTCACAAGAACATCATAGAAAAAAAATTCATCTAAATGAGTCAAAAGAAATAATAGCAAAAAATGAACAGACCACCTAGAGTGGATTATGGTACTTTGGCATGAGCAGATGGTATTTCGCCAGGGTTAGGGGTGGGGTGAATTCAAAATGTGGTCTCTGTGAAGCAATTTCAGATAACCCTTACATTTTCTTGTCCATTAAAAAAAGAAAGAAAGGAGGATGTATCTAGTGCATTAGTCATTTGAAAATGTTACTCAGTCTTCTAGCAGAGGTTTATTTGCCTTTAGTCTAGCATAGCCAGCACTCTCTGTTGTTGGCCCTTCAGACTCTTTCCTTCTTGCTCTCTGGCCCATCTCTGTCTCTCTCCTCTCACAGCCAGCAGAGCGGTTTTTTTTTTTTTTAATCATTCACTTTCTGAAATAAAGTTCATCAACTTTTACAGACATCGAAAGTCACATGGCTGAGTGATAGATACATTAGCAGTTTGGCTCCTCTCTGCAGCTCCTGGGAAAGGTGCTAGAATAGGGATCAGAGGCTAGGGGACCAAAGTTCATTGTGAAGGGGCATACACACCAGTTCAGCAAGAGAGCCGGAACTGTGGAATAACCAGAATCAAAACAAAGCAAAAATATGTTTTTGGAAGCAGAATTTGTACATAAGTAGAAGTTCCTACCTCTTTGTATTTTTTTTTTTAGTTTTATGTGTCAATAAAACACTTCCTAAAGTATGTATATGCGAGACACACCCGCTTAGGGAAATTATTGGTTATATACCAACTATATAAAATCTAGTGGGAAATATGTAACACCCCCCCTACTCATTCCCCTCCATCTTAGAAAAGGTATTCATGAATTCAGGATCAGGTAGTCGTCACTGAAAATCTTATGTACTGTCAGCGATGTTCATAAGCTCGTCTCCATAACCCCCTTAGAGTTATTTGGGAAACTGTATTGTGACATTTTAAATCTCATCTTCCTTATGTTGGTTGAGTAGCGAAAGTATGCTTTCAGATAAAAAATGATCTGTTTCTAATTTGACATGTAAGCACATTTTTCTAATGAATAAAGTTGGGACTTACAAAGAACTCATGAATGCACCGTGTGTAAAGCTTATCAATTCAGAAAAATATAACTAAATATTTGCCTCACTTTGAAGAAAGTTGAGCATTGCCACGTCCGTTTATGGAAACATTCTGACTCCATTGCATCGTAAACATCAGTTCTGTGATTCGTTCGCATTGGAAAACCACTCATGACATCGTAGAATTCGGCTTCAAGTTTGTTCTAAATTTGTAGCAGAACTCAAACGGTAGTGGCCGTGGTCAAGAAGACACAGCAGAACATGACTACTCTACGCTATTTCTCATTGGGAAAATTGAAGCGGATTTAATATTGAATGTTGTTATTGAAAAGAGATCAAGGATGGTCCTACTTTGTGGGATTATTTTGGTTTAGTTTTAATCTGGGGATGCTCTGGGATGCTCTTAGGCAGTGAGTCTTTGATTTGCAAAGACATGAGAATCTACTTTCTAAATCACCCATCTACTAATTCAGAATGCCTGGGAATGGGATAGGAAGTGTGTATTTTCTTAACAGATTCCCTGGCCGATTCTGCTATATTCTTATACTTCAGAATCTCCAAATCATGGGAGGATATTAATCCTATGATTTTAGAGGTTTTGTTTGTTTGTCTGAATGTTTTGGGTTTTTCCTCCCCTTCGTTTGTTTTTTTTTTATTTCATTAGCAACCTTTCCCCTCGATCTCACAAAAACCCGACTCCAGATGCAAGGAGAAGCTGCTCTTGCTAGGTTGGGAGATGGTGCAGCGGGATCTGCCCCTTATAGGGGCATGGTGCGCACAGCCCTAGGAATTGTCCAGGAGGAAGGCTTCCTAAAGTTGTGGCAAGGAGTGACGCCCGCCATTTACAGACACGTAGGTATTTATCTTGATTCTAACTGGTAAGTTTGCTATGAGTTCTGTATTCTTGCTTTTCTCTTCAGCTGTATCCAAAATCCAGCAAGGACATTTGTTTTATTTATTTTTCTCACTGATACAAAAAATCAGTAGAAGAAAATATTTCCAGTTGTTATTAAGGAGTTAGCGCCCTAAGTTTTGAGAATGCATACGGAAGCACTTAGATGGTCCAGGAGACCCTTGGTCAAGCTGGCCAGCCCGGCTAACTGGAGGTGGTGAGCCATAAATAAAGGGGAAAGTGTGGAGGAAGACAGCTGATGTGAGCCTCAGACCTCTGCACGTGCACACACGTGCATGAGCACCCACACACTGATACGGTTCTACACACGTGAGCGTATCTACACACCAACCACACCACACAAATATACACATGGAGAAAAACAATAAACTGTCACCATATCTATAAAGCGCTTTAAGATAATTGAACAAAGTCAAACAAGTGCTATCACTTAATCTTGATGGAAAGGGAGTTAGTTAGAGTTGTTTCTACTTGGCTGTATGTTTGGATATTTTCTTCCCTGTAAGTTCTTTAATGGTATAAGACAGAGAATCATGAATAATTTATGTCATTTTTCCCTTACTTCAGAAACCACAAATACAGTAAAAAAAAAAAAAAATGAAGTAGGTTTTAAATCCAAAGTTCTGAGTGAGCTTCCAGGGAAATGTTTTCATGGTCTCTGAAGATTAAAACATCTTGTCTTTGTCCTGTGCATCAGAGCCCAGCGAGGCTGATGTGACAGCGAGCAGGAGCCTTGCCTTATCCAGCCGTGGCACTTTCCTAGAGTAGAGGGAGCACAGGTGAACTTACCTTCGCTCTGCTCCCAGGCTAACAACTTCTGCGGGTTATTAGTGGTGACATCCCAGAGAGAACCTTTCTAACCCTGCTCCCAGGGCGCCACTCACAGGAACGGGGGTCATTGACCTGCCGGCTTGTAGACAGGAGAACATGAAGTTGTTCCCAAGAGACACTGAAATAGCATGGCCTTCTGCCCCGCCACCCTCCACCTTCATGCTGTCTCCTTGGCCCAGAAAGCATCGGTTTTAATCATGTGCAGGCTTGCTGTTAATAGTCAATTCTTCACATGAGGAGGTTAGCATAGGATTTTTTTTTAAAGAGTCAGATTATGCACAGAAACGTATACTGTTTTGTAATTTGTTATTTTTTTTATGAAATACCAAGTCAAACATCCTGAAAGTGTGGTATTTCATATTCAAGAACTCTCTTGAATGGGCATCATGTACTGATTCTAATGATGCCAGTTTCTACCTGTTCATCTTTGGACCCCATTATTGTTCTGTGTGTTGCCTCTTTCACGTGTGTTGGCCACTTCGCCATTCTCCAGTTAAGATCTTTCTCGGGTGCTTAAAGCCTGGAAGGGAAGAAATGTTAATGAAGTCTCTAGTGCGGTTACATGTGGTTATTCAAAGAGAAGATCCTCTGCATGCCAAGCTCCCTACTTGCGTATTTGAGTTAAAGTCAGCACACAGAGCTATTTGGTGGGGTTCCTTTGCATTCTGTTTCTCCTCCCCTTCCTGTGGTGATGCTCAAGATGGCCAGGACTGAAACAAGAAGACAGGAATAGCTCTTCTTCCCTAACCTTACTTCAAGCTCTAGCATTCGGAAACTCTTCCAACCTTGAGCTTAGATGAAGTTAGTTGTGTGTAAGTCAATAAATGGACTCATGTTTGGTGAATCAGTGTCTGTCAAAGGGAAAAATATAACCAACACTGAGAACCCACCTGGAGAAGTCCTGAGGGGGAGATAGGAAGACATTAATTGCTAGTGAATTTGATAGTTGCTATGTTAGAACATGCCATGTGGGCCAAGGATGCTGAGGTCAAAGAGCAGCTATCTGAAAAACATAGTGAGCTGATTCCTAAAAGATGAAGAGGGGTAAACAAAGTAGTGAAGGGAAGCTTCCTAGAGGGATCAGAGAAGGAAGAATTCCTCCTTTGGAAGACTAATGAGTCCAGGTCAGGTCCTCTTATTTCATTAGATACAAGACTGAATTTGTTTTCATCGTGTTTTATGCAGTGTATTCGGGAGGTCGGATGGTCACCTATGAGCATCTCCGGGAGGTTGTGTTTGGCAAAAGTGAAGATAAACATTATCCCCTCTGGTAAGTTTTGCTTTGAAAACAATATGCTGTGACCACAAAGACTTTGATTTTACCAATTATATTTACGTAAAATTTTCCTTTTGTACTAAAATTGCTTTTAGTAGCAGACTTAATAAATAATAGAAATCCTAATAAGTGAGAATTCTGTACATATTCTGTACAGGCACAACAGAAATGCATATGTGAATTATTCATATTTATTTACTATTTTAATCTAAACGAAATTATGGTTGGGATGAGGTACATGCCTATTACTCCAACCCTTAAGAGGTGAAGGCAGGAAGATAGTTTGAGACCAGTCTCTGCTATCTGTGACCCTATCTCAAAATCAAATAACAATAACAATAATAATAATAAAGACTTCATTGGAATATCTTCTATTGGGACATCCTTTTTCAAAGGCCATTGTCTTAATTAGCTTCCTGTTGTAGTGATAAAAACCATGATCAGAAGTAACTTGGAGAGAGAAGGGTTTGCTTCACTTACAGTTCCAGGTAGCAGTCCATCACTCATGGCAGTCAGAGCAGGAACTCAGTGCAGGAACATGGAGGCAGGACCTGAAGCAGAGACCACAGAGGAATGCTGCTTACTGACTTGCTCCCTATGACTTGCTCAGCATACTTTCTTGAATAACTCAGCACCACCTGCTCAGGGGTAGCACTGCCCACAGTGGGATAGGCCCTCTCAGAACATCAGCTATTAATAAAAAAAAAAATGCCCCTTTGGCCTTGCATATGAGCCAGTCTGGTGGGGACATTTTCTCAATTGAGAATCCCTCTTCTCAAATGACTCTAGCTTGTGCAAAGTTGATAAAGGACTAGCTGGACATGACCCTCGTTATAGCTAGTCTGTTTTAATGAGTATAAAAGTAACACATTAAATCACTGCATTATCATGTACTTTTGTAATTATAACCAAAAGACACCAGTCTCTTTCAGAAATGCTTTGGTAAATTCGAGGCATCACATAACTGATAAAGTCCTTCAAGCCCTTTACATCTTAATGCATTTGCCCATGTGCCTTTTATTTAGATACCATTAATCCCAAAATTAAATTTCGGGATGGAAAAATACTCTCTTGAAAAACATCACCAAGAATAAACTACCATCTCTCTCTAGAAGCAAGCTAACGTCATTAAATGCATGTTTGTTTCTTTTTTTTTTTTCTTCAGAGTCTGGCTTGTGTATTATTAGAAGTTTTTGAGTGGTTCAGTTTGTAAAGCCCATGTCCAGGAAGTAAACCATGATTCCCATTTTCTGTATCAGTTATACTGAATAGAGGCTGACAGTAAGGTCTACTGCTTCTGAACTGGATGACTCTTGTTTTCAGACAGTGGGCTAGCACAGCCTCCCTTGGGAATCATGTAAAAAATTTTAAAGAAGTACTCAGAAATAGGAAGTAGATTCCTCAGTCCTATAAAGGACAGCAGGCTTCCCGCAGAAACTTCTTTTGTGCTCTTTGGACCCTTTTTATAACAGAAGGTAGACATTGTAATGAAGAAACACCCTTTGTCAGTTCTGCCAAACCGTGTTTAGCAAATGGCTTTATAATCACAGCTTTTCGTTCCCTGGAGTTTAGGTTGTCACTTAATTTTTTTTTCTATTGTCCATTCCTTTTTTTTTTCATTTTTATATGTTTTTTCTTTCTTTTGTTTTTAGGTTGTAAATGTAGAAGTTTGGAAAAGAGCGTTAACAGTTGTGGGACTTGAACCCATACACTAATGTACTCCATTCCCACGATGTAAGAATGACAAAGGCCTTTCGTGTCCTTTAATCCAGATCCTCATTGTCCTGGGTGTTAGGTGCCTCTGGTCCTCTTGAGTCACTCTCTTCTTTGGCTTCCTGGACGCTGCACTCTTTGACCCTTTGAACATCTCTTTGGCTCTCTTTTGTCTTCTTCCATGGGCTGCAAGCTGACTAAGGGCCAAGGCAAAGACCTAACTAACCATAGTCATCAGTGTTTCCGCAAGATGAGCCCCATGCCGTGAGGATGCGTGTTTAATCCCTGAATGTTGAGGAATCGTATTCTCTCTTCCCTGTATGCTGTGTGTTCGTGCATTCCTGTAGCCTTGAGTGCACGTACAGGCTGAGAACCAAATCAATGTGTACAGAGTTGTCTCTGTGACTCAAGTTTGGTGCTACATTCTTTCATTTTGTTCATGCCAAAGATGAACATTTCCACCATGTCATTGCTTATTATTAAGAACCACGGTAGCAGGCCAATGAGATGGCTTGGTAGGATCAACGCGCTTGTCAGGCTTGATGACCTGAGTTACTACTCTTGGGGATCTGACTGCCAAAAATTGTCCTCTGATATTCTCTCTCTCTCTCTCTCTCTCTCTCTCTCTCTCTCTCTCTCTCTCTCTCTCTCACACACACACACACACACACACACACACACACACACCCTCAAGACTCATAGTAGCTCTGTACAATCAGAATTCCTGTGGCCGCCTTTCAGCAGAGCCATGTGTGTTCTTCCTTTTGAAAAGCTCTGGCTGTGAAGAGATGGGCTTGCATCTTATTTTTGTCTCCTTACTGAGGAACATAGAGAAACTGCCTCACCTCTTCCACATTCCACTCTACTCACTACAGCAGCGATGCCTACCTTTGGATGAGATAATGTACAAATGCCTGTTGCTTTGAAATTTAAAATTTTTAGCCCAGTCTGCAGAGGCAGACGGATCTCTGTGAGTTCGAGGCCGGCCTGGTCTACAAAGCAAGTTCCAGGAAATGTGAAGAGTAGTTCTCAGGGGCTGGAGAGAGAGAGGCTCCGCAGTTAAGAGCACTTCCTGTTCTTCCAGAGGACCAGACTTCAGTTCTTAGCACCCCGATGGGCAGTTTCTAACCACCTGTAACTCCAGCTCCAAGGGATCTGAAGCCTTCCTCTAGCCCTCTCAGGTACCACAGACAAAGACACAGAGACAGAGAGAAACAGACAGAGACACAGAGAGAGATTAAAGAAAAATATTTTAAAAATAGTTCACCATAAATAATACACACTTGTACCATTAAAACAAAACAAAACAAAAAAAAAAACCCATAGCTAGCACACAGGAAAAATTAAGGAAAGGGTGTGAAGAGACCCAGTTCCCAAAGGAGTATAAATGTTCATTACTCATGTAAAAAACAAGTAGCATCACTAATAAACAGAGAAAGTGATTTAAACTTCCTTTAAAGTGCTGTGAAAATGTAGAACAATGGAGCCTTTTATGATATACACTGCCTACTAAAGCTTCTAACGCATGACTTGGGATGCGACGTTAATTGTCAGGCTTGAGTCCTGCTCGCTGTTGGAGAATAGAGGAGCTTGGCCGCAAGTGTCTTCAGAGAGAGGAATGCTGTCAGGCCCATCACTTGAAAACCAGCTCAGTCAGGGCTTGAAGTTGTGGTTCCCTGCCTTTTCCCCTCGGGCCGATTACATCTCTGCGCTTTTGTTATCCTGCAGCCAAGATACCAGGGGCAAAGAGGTAATGGGTCCAGGTGTCTGTGCCGCTGAAGCCATGTTTCTTCCATCCGGATTCAGGTGGAAGGATTTCAGATTCGCCCTTTAGCGCCTTTTGCTCCCCGACCTACCCACCAGTCAACAGTCAGGCCCCTGCTTTTCTCTCCTTCGTCTGTTCTTCACTGCCTCTCTACCTTCTACCCAGGGCCTGTGCCAGTTCAGTGTGGATCCCCGGTAAAATCTGTGAAATGAGGGGCAATTGAAGCCAGACAGCAAACCCACTGTCTCCTCTGCCCTCAGGAAATCGGTCATCGGAGGGATGATGGCTGGGGTCATCGGGCAGTTTCTGGCCAACCCCACCGACCTGGTGAAAGTCCAGATGCAGATGGAAGGAAAACGGAAGCTGGAAGGGAAGCCCTTGAGGTGAGTCATCCGGGAAACTCACTCTTCCTTCTCCTTTCTCCGTCACCTGTTTCTTGGACATTTAACTAATGCCTCATGTTTGTAATCTAACCTCTACTGAAGGAATTAACACTGATTCTTTCCTTTTGAAATTATGACTGTGAAGAGGTGTGTGAGCCCGGGTCTTGTGTGCCATGATGTGTGTGTGCTCTGTATCCGAGGGACTGTGTATAACTCTTTGCTCCTCCTCCTACTGAAAGACAGTTAGAGGAGACCCCTGTCCACATTGATGTAAAGCATTTGGACAGTTGGACATTGTCATTCGAGCCTGTAATCTCGGCACATGGAGGGTCGAGGCATAATTGCTGAGAGTGTGAAGCCAACCTGGGGTACGTAGTGAACTCAAGGCTAGCCTGGTCTACAGGTGATACTGTGTTTCAAAAGAAAAGAGAGAGAATGAGAATTTGGTCGCAGGCCCTCTGTCCTGGTATGAGCCCTAACGTTGTCATCCTATGTCACCAATGTGGAGTGGCTTCCTAAAAATCACTTATCACACAGTCAGTCTGTCTTTTGGTATTTCAAGACAGGGTTTTTCTGTGTATCCCTGGCTGTTCTGGAACTTACTCTGTAGATCAGGCTGGCCTCGAACTCAAAGAGGATTGCCTGCCACTGCCTTTGAAATGGCCCAGGCCTGTGTCTTCATTTGGAGTTCCTGATAGTTAACACTACTGTCTCTAAATATCTTGATTCTCCCCCTGGAAAGAATGTAGCCAGGTCATGTTGCTAGTTTCTTGTAGCCTGTTTCTCCTGGGAAACACACTGAACTGGCACAGGCCCTGGCTGGCCTCTTTGCTCCTCTCCAGTGTTTGTGGTATAGAAATGTCAGGTGTCTCTTACACCTGTTTAAGGTATTGGCAGAACAGAGTTAAATTAAGGGGAAAAAAATTTTAGGACCAGGGAATTGAAGGGGATTATCTGACCTGTTTTAGGTGGATCCTTCAATTCGGCTCCATGGAGCTCACAAGAATTCTTTGGGTTTGTGAAAACAAAAGTTTTAGACATATACATTGTATAAACAGTAGCATATTTATGTCAGAATGACTGTGACAGATATTTCTGCACAATGAAAAGTATTTTTAAGACTATGGAAGGCACAGTGAGAGAGAAGTTTGATAACTTGTATTTGTCCTCACACCTTTATAACTTGCAGGTCTTGGATTTGTATTTTACTAAAATTTGTTTGGTGAGGTTATCCTTTAAAACTGACAAAACCTCTCAGCTGTCAAACTGCAACAGAGATCTTTGAGAAGGATAAAATTTTACTTGAGTTATTGATTAAAAAATGACTGAGAACTTACTTGGTTGACACCCAGAGCTACTCCTCAGGGTCCTCCATGGTTGCTGAGGGTCGCATTTGCCTTTTGCTATTTAGCGCAGGGCCTGCCAGGCTCCAGAAGATCCTGTGGACTGAGAAATCTGTAGGAAGACAAGCCAACCTTCTAACGTTGCAGACAACTCTGCTTCAGCGCCACTGCACTCTTATACATGAAAGTAACAGAGAAAGCAAGGTTGTTTGAGTTCAGAAAAACATGTACATACATGTCAGCAAGCACATTCTAAATCTTAATAAAGCAGCCTTTTCCAGAACCTTTTGAGGACAGACCAGTTTAAACACAGTTACGTGGCATGTACTATAGATTCTATCTGGGGAAGCACAGAAACAAGGCAGAAGGCCAGATCCAGATCCAGGGCACCCTGAGGACAGCACTCAGCATATCCTTTTACCTGATTGGGCTCTATCGCTATGACCCAACATCCAACAAGAATAGACATGCTTTATACATTGAATGCAAGTATGTGTTGCAGGAGGCAAGAAATCACACCTGAGAACAATCCAGGGAGCTGAATGCACCTGGGGTCAAAGGCAGAGCCTCTGCCTTTTTTCCTGGAGACTCTCTCAGGGCTCCACAAGGCATTGTTCATCATGCGCCATTCCTTTGCCTGTGTCCCGGCCCAATCAGCAGAAGGTGAAGTTTACACCCCTGCCATCCATACACAGGAATACATAGACTAATATCTCTTTGTTATTTTCCTTAGATTCCGTGGAGTACATCATGCGTTTGCAAAAATCTTGGCTGAAGGAGGAATTCGTGGGCTGTGGGCAGGCTGGGTGCCCAATATTCAAAGAGCTGCTCTTGTGAACATGGGAGGTAACAAGCTTCTTGACTCTCTACAGCCGTAGTCAACCAGTTATGGGCACCAGCGTCAGGGTGTGGAAGGCAGTGTTGTGCTTTTCAATCACAGGAATCAGCAACAGTAGCTGAGTGTCTATCCCGGAGCATTTTCACCTCCTTTAGTGATGTATAAAAAGGACCAAAGACAGAAAGCAATGTCCCCTTAAGCAGAAAAGGCCAAACTATCTGAGGCCTTCTGCCCAGTCCAGACGGTCCTCTGAGATGAAACTCATGTGTGGAACCGCCTGACAGTCACTCTGCCCAGACGCCCAGGTCTCTCTCGCTGTGGCTCTGCCCTGAACAGCATGGCGTGCAGCCTGGGAATATGAACATTCCCCCCACAATTCCCCTCTACTCCTTCCTTGCCTCTTATTTTTAATTTCTAGTTTCTTTTTTTTAAATGCCATAACCATAAAGTTTCCATTGGACAGTTATACATCAGGGAAGAGAGTAAAGCTCTAGAAAAGAGTAAAACTCATTTTTTGGAAGGCTGAGTCAGGAGGCTGTGAGTTCAAGGCTAGGCTGAGTCATAAAATAAATTTTTTTATTGTGTCAAAATTTAAGACATATCAGCCAAATATTCCTATTTAGGAAATGCTGCTGATATTATGGTGATATATTACTAGTCAAGCTACACTCACGCTATCAGAGAAAACGTGAGAGGGAGAACATGTTAAAGCCATGTATTGACAGATACCTTTATTGAGAAGCTAGATATAGCCTTTCCTAAGAAGATAGATTTTTCTTTTTTCTTTTTGGTTTTTCGAGACAGGGTTTCTCTGTGGCTTTGGAGCCTGTCCTGGTTCTAGCTCTTGTAGACCAGGCTGGCTTCGAACTCACAGAGATCCGCCTGCCTCTGCCTCCCGAGTGCGGGCGTGCACCACCACCGCCCGGCGAAGATAGATTATTTTAAGTGTATATGCCCAGTTTTATAACTTAAAAATCTAGAGCCTATAAACATACACGGAAATGGCATTTCATAGCATCAAGAGGCCATCCCGCCACCAGACAGATGGTCCTGATGTTGGCGATGTCTATGCTTTAGACATACAGTGGGTATGTCTGTGCCATGGGTACCGGTATGCCAGCTATGTTTATTCTCCAAAATGAACCTGAAATCTTCACGAGAATTAGAGGATGGGAAAGATTCCAAGCGACAGCGTACAGTAAAGTAGAAGCTTGCCTGTCTTGTTAAGAATACAGAATTTAGGGTGTAGAAATGAAACATGTGTTCCTGTCATCCTAGGTTTTCATCTCTGGGGACAGTCGTTTCCTGTGTGTGCACAGCCGCCCTTGAATGTAGATGTCCCAGCTACCAGCCTCTTCCATGTCCTGAAATCATCTTAAGCCAACCCCCCAATTACAATACCTGTTACTTCAATATCTTTAGGGTTTTGTGGCTGTGCAGAGACACCATGACTACAGCAACTCTTATAAAGGAGAACATTTAATTGAGACTGGCTTACAGTTCAGTTGTTTAGTCGATTATCATCATGGCGGGGAAGCATGGCCTACATGCAGTCAGACCTGGTGCTGGAGAAGGAGCTCAGAGTTCTACATCTTGATACAAATGCAGCAGCAGGAGACTGTGTATCACACTGATCAAACTTGAGCTTATAAGACCTCTAAGTCCACCTCCACAGTGACACACTTCCTCCAACTTCCTCCAAGGCTACACCTACTAGTGCCACTCCCTGCACGCCAAACATACGAGCACGCGAAAGTCTATAGGGGCCATACACCACTGTAAGCTTCCAACAGGGCAAACCATCAGACCAACTCCCAGCTTGATCCCTGCCATAATCACTTAACTGAGCTCATCCCCACCCCCAAAGTTGTACACAGATCTATCCAGACAGGTTTCTCCAGTCACTGACCCAGCAAGCTGTCAGTGTCCTTGACACCTTCCTCTGGCCTCTCACTAGATAACCAAGTGGAAATTTTGGAACATAACGTAGGAACCCACAGAACTTTCCAGGTGCTATCAGCTCCCTGCAGTTCCTTGTGCCTGCTGGTAGGAGCACAGCAGAAAGCCCTGAGCTGAGAGACCACACCCCTGCATGCACAAAGCTGTTCCTCACCCCTGCAGGCACAGAGCTGGTCTTCACCCCTGCAGGCACAGAGCTGTTCCTCACCCCTGCATGCACAAAGCTGTTCCTCACCCCTGCATGCACAGAGCTGTTCCTCACCCCTGCATGCACAGAGCTGTTCCTCACCCCTGCAGGCACAGAGCTGTTCCTCACCCCTGCAGGCACAGAGCTGTTCCTCACCCCTGCAGGCACAGAGCTGTTCCTCACCCCTCTGCTTTCAGTCTTGCCCCTCTTGTTTTAGTTCTCTTCTGTAAATTCCTTTAATACTCAGGTAAACTATTGTCTCTACCCAGGCATCATTTCCTGACCCTCTCACAATCCCTCCCCATGCCTGGTCACCTTGGATGTCCTTTTCAATGTCTGTAGTTCTCTGAGGCCATCGCTGACATTCTCTACATGGTGAACCCCTGAAGGCAATGGCATGGTTTTTCTCAGCTTTTCCCCCCCAGTCTTTCATAGATAGGAATCATCAAATGTTCAGGGATTAATCGGTGAGAGAATCTTTCTAGGATGGATGGTATGTCTCTAAGGGATTGATACGCAGTGTTTTTGGGAATCCCAGTAGCAGATCACCTAAATGTGGAAGGGATAAATCTGTTTTCTCCATGTACGTCTGCTCTGTCTCATTAGTAGTTAATGTTTTTCCCCCAGAAATCTTTGTGATTGTAGTTCCTCAATTTGTTCCTTCAGGGTTTGCCTCAACTCTGTCCCAAGTTCCAGGTACTTTCCTTTGACTGTCTCATTTTGAAGGTATCTAAATCAGACCTCTTAATCAAACCATTTCTTTCTCATTTTCCATAGTGTCAAAATATCCCCCAAGCCATTTTGTTGTATGAGTTTCGTCTCTTCCATTGTCCTTTGGGTCGATTAGTCACTGAGTGCAGTTAATTCTGTCTTCTCTTTATCACTTGAGCTTCTTGGTTCATAGATGACTTACTGCATCCTCTGAGGCCACTACAGAAGCCTCCTTAATGGTCCCTCCTTAGACATCCTGTGACCACTTTGCCCCCACCATCCTTGAACTGGCTTTACAAAGGTGGCCAATGCTGTTGTCTTGTAAATAATAATAATAATAATAATAATAATAATAATAATAATAATAGTCTGCTTCTATATTTATCTCCAATTCCTTTTAAATTGTTCACACTTAGAAGCATGCTTTCATCTTTTCTTTGTTTCTCTGTATTAGATCTGCTGGCTGTTTCTGCTTTCAGAATTTATGCAGAAGCTGAGCAGGGCTGCGCAACACCATTATCAAGCCAGCATCATCTCTTACTAGGATTAGCATTATGGTCTCATATCTAGTCCCCTTGTCTTCCTACGGTGCGACCTCTGAGCCTCTCCACAATAGCCTGGGCCAGCACTGTGCCCTGCAGTTCTCTGTCTCCCGTGCTTGCTCTGCCACCCCAGCCTTCTGCATCGTCATTCATATCCCAAGCCAGCTCCTGCCTTGTGGCCAATGCTTTCCTTTCGTCGAGAGAGTTTCTTTTAGCTATCTAAACAGTCATTTTCTGTGCTTCCTTTGGGTCTCTGGTAGGTGTCATTTTAGCAAGAGACCTTTCTTTTTCTCCAAACATGAAGATTTCATCGCATTGTCTGTTCTTTGGGCTCCCTTTTCTTTTCCCACTTGTCTGCAGAGTACTGGCTTTGGAACCTGCTGGCATCTGGACATCCGGGGGTTTGTTTTGCTTGTTGTTTCAAATGCCGTCAGCGAGCAGAGATGCTCATCTTACCGACTTCCCCAGACTTCTAGAAAAGGAGCCTGTCTGTTCTCACCACACCACCATTCATTTGCCTCTCCACTCCAGTGTGGGTCATCGCCATAAACCCCAGCACTGTGGTATACACGCCCCAGCACTGTGGTATACACACCCCAGCACTGTGGTATACACACCCCAGCACTGTGGTATACACGCCCCAGCACTGTGGTATACACGCCCCAGCACTGTGGTATACACACCCCAGCACTGTGGTATACACGCCCCAGCACTGTGGTATACACGCCCCAGCACTGTGGTACACCCCTCCTGCTTAAATCCTTTAATAGCTCTCTGTTGTCATTAGGAAAAGGGTATAACAAGTGTAATGTAAAACAGTAGTCCAGATCTGTTGGTTATAACTGTCAGGGTGTTAACTCAGGTTCAGATGGACATATCTTAGTCCAAAGACCAAACATTCCAGAGGGTAATGTATGTAACTAGATACAGTGAGTGCCCATTCCTTCCTTTCTACCTCTCCTACTGTTTGTAGCTCTGCTTAAAAACAAGAATGCTATCTTTCATTGTCACACAGTCCAGCCCCAAGCCCAGCATATTCTTGACTGTTGAATGAGTGAAAATTCAACCCTTCTCCCTTTGCCAGACCTAACCACCTATGACACGGTAAAGCACTACCTGGTCCTGAACACCCCGCTGGAGGAGAACATCGCCACTCATGGCTTATCCAGGTAGGTGGCTCTTTCGAGGCATTTTGTTGTCTCTGTTTCCTTTTCTTTTTTAGGGCTTAATTTTATTTTTAATTATGTGTGTGCATTTGTGTCTGTTTGTGGACATCTGAGCGCAGGTGGCTCCTGAGGCCCAAGGAGTGTGTCGTGTCACCTGGAGCTGGAGGAACCACACACTGGGCCTCCACAAGAGCAGTGAGAGCTCTTAGCCCTCAGCCATCTCTCTAAACACATATGTGACCCTGTCCTGAATAGTTAACATAAATTCTACCTTTGGGGATCTTTTGGTCGAGAATGTCATCTGTCACCCTGAGAGAAGGATGATGCTATGTTTTTAAAGAGTCACTTTCTTCAAGTTCATTGCAGTTAGAATGTGGAAGAGACAGATAAAATTCCACCATATTTCAGACTGAACTTGGCCAAGATTTGTACTTGATTTGCAGCTGCCCCAGGAGCAGTTTCTGATGGTGCAGCAGATATGTGTGGCCTTCTGGGCTAAGTGTGTCTGTCTGGATCTTGCAGTCGCCCTGCCCAGGGAGCTCACCAACAGGGAGAACTAGACAAGTGTGAAAACTATGAACAGTAAGTAAGGAGGGGGAATATGAGTTATTAGAAGCCTCAAAGGAGTGCGGGAGGAGACCGAGAGCAAGAATAAAGGGAAGGGACCCAGAGGACACAGAATCATCTCTTCGATGGTCCTTCTCTTTGACACACAATTCCAGCTTCTCCATGTGAAGGAATGACTTTTGGTGTCTGCTGTCCTTCACAGCACAGTGATTTGTTTCCTCTGGGTCGTGGTGTTGTTGCCAAAGACTGAAAAATCTCAAACCCTGTATGCTATTGAGATGACCCTAGATATGTGGAGTAATGTTAATATTCTCAAGTTGAAAATGGAGTTACATTCCTCTTTCCCTTCCTCCATTCCTTCCCTCCCTCCCTTTCTTTCCTCCCGTTCTCCCTATTTCTCTCTGTGCATGTGTGTGTGTGTGTGTGTGTGTGTGTGTGTGAGAGAGAGAGAGAGAGTCTATGTGTGACCCAAGAATATTCCTTTGTACATGAAACTCTGTCCTTGTAACACCTCATCCAGATCTGCCCTGACAGGTGACTCAGCCACCCTCAGAGCCTTTCCCTGCCTGCCTGTCACTTGATTTACTGGTTCACACCTATCACGTTTGCCTGCTTTGCTTTTCCCTGGCACTGGTCAGCATCTGAAGATAGCCATGTGCCTTGATCTGTCCCTGAGTGGAGCATAGCCACCTCCAGAACAGGGGCTTCCTAACCATGGATTATTTAGTAGTAGTAGTAGCAGTAGGAGTAAGGGTGTGTGTGGTGTGGGGGG